CTAGACCCTAAAATTTTAAACCTAGGACTTGAGAAGCTTTCGGGACTGCCGGGCTTCTGGTAGGCAAAGGCAGTCTTCCCTTCTCGTAAACAGCTCTTAGGTCGGATGGTCTCCCAAAGGGTCCATGTAAGTATCGTCGCAGTTTAGGGTTTAAGGTTTAGGGTTTAGGGTATAGTATATACCTGGGGCCCACAGGGGTTCCTATCCAGTTGCTGTAGGGCCCAGGTACATACTATAGGGTCTGTGAGAATGACGACAACACGAAGCAGCGCTTGGAACGGCTGACTGGTTGACTAATTGCCAGGTTAACTGGTTGGCCAATTGGTGAGCTGGTTGGCTGGTGTCCTTCTTTTGCAGTAACACGCCCTCACACTCATGCTTGCTCATGCTAGCCCAGGACCTACATCCATGCACAAAAACAACCCAACAGCCTAGGAAAGGCACACGACAAGCTCTGAAACCTCAAGTCCGAACCCCAACCCTTAGACTGCATCCCAAAAAACCCGAAGAACCCTAAAACCCTAAACCCTAGAACACTTGTAGTTTCCATGTTCTTTTCCACTATCCCAATAGAACCCCTCATATAACCCCTATATTAAGCCCCAACAAGCCCAAGCCCTGCCTAGGAAACCGAAACCCTAAACCTATAGGCACTAAACCGTCGCCCTGAAAGCTTAAACACTAAACCCTACAGTAGTTTCCATCTCCTATATAACCCTACGAGTAACCCTGTAAACTCGAAACCCTAAACCCTACCACCCTACCCCCTAAATCCTACACCCTAATACAACTTAGCATAACGCGATAAATCCCTATGAAATTACCGTATACTCCTCATCATAAACCTCTCTCTGCCAGGCCCAGGTGCCTAGAACTCCCAGGAAGCTGACAGAACCTTTAGGCTTTTAGGGTTTCGGATTTTAAGGTTTAGAATTTCGGCTTTGGGGATTGGGTTTGAAGTTTAGGGTTCATGGGAGTTTGGGTTTCAGACTTTAGGGTTCAGACTTTAGAACCTCGAGTCCGGGGTTCAGAGTTTGAGGTTGAGAGCTTGGGTCGGGGTCTCAGGGCTGACAAGGGAATCCCGAGGCATACGGCAGGGGCCTCACTATTTAGGACCTTGCGGGGTATCATATATATATGGGGTGGAACACGGATACTAAAGATTCAGTTGGGGTTCTACGTTGCTCCACCAGGACGGAAACCTCCAAATACAAGATGCCCCCCACTCCCAAAGGGCCCATGTAGCTATATGGTATATACTTGGGCCTTAAAGTAGGTATATGGGAACCCCTTTGGGCCCTAAGTATATACCATATACCTACATGGACCCTTTGGGACTGAAAGGAACACTGTATCGGCTCGACTGTGCAACCCTTTGCCGCTCGTGAGCAGCATCTGCTGTGATTGGAACCGCCGTGCGTGGGCCATCTTTGAAGATTCATTGGAGCTTTCCCTAAGGGTCCAAGTACCCAATAATGGAGTACTTGGGTTCTGGGTAATGGAGTACTTGGGTTCTGGGTAAAAATACCGAGCAGTTATAGTAATTACAGGTTTGTGGTAAGTATATGATTTTAAGGTACTTGGACCCTTAGGGTTTGGCGTATACTCACAGAGACAATCCCCCGGCTGGCCCTGTGTTGGTTTACGCCAATGATCGGCTAGGGTTATGGTCCAAGATGCAAATAACTCCCAAACCTCCCGGAACCTTCCTCCAATACATCACAGGTAGATACCGCAACCAGAAGGAGCATTCAGGCAGTCGAGAAAGTGGTCAGACTACTAGTACCTCTTCTAGGATGGCCCGCTGTAAGATTGCAAGATGCAAGTTGCCTTATGCTGGAAGATTTATCCTTGCAAGGGCAAGACCGTGTTGTTCAAAATTTCTCCTGTCCTGCGGTCTGGAGAAACACATCAAAATTGCAGGAACAAGACTTGAATGGGATCGCATCTACTGGATTCAATACTGTACCCCAAAACCTGCCGGTTTCTAGCCTTGCCTCAACCCAACCAGCTTGGAACCTCCGACAGGACTTGACAAAAAAAGCGGCTGTCCTTGAACAAGAGCCTTCATTAGGTCGTCTTTCTTGAAGGAAATCCTATACCCGGGAGTGTTTGTCGCTGTTCACTGACGCAAGAAACACCATCATCACCACGACCATCCCCAGCATAAACCTACCTCATGTGGTAGTTTCCACGAATAAGGGACCACTATAAGACCCTAAATACGAGAATCTTTATTCTGCTACCACTCCCCCCCCATCAACAAAAAGGACACCTAATTTTCAGAATTCCCTTTATGGGGCCCGATCTTAGTTTGGGAGGCCTTGGCATCATCAACCCATGGGGGTAGCTTCAAACCATAGGGTTTAGGGTTTGAGGGTCCCTTCTAAGCATAGGGCTTAGGGTTTAGGTGTCACTTCAAAGCATAGTGTTTAGGGCTTCTAAGCATAGGGTTTAGGGGTCACTTCAAAAAATGTGTATACTTGGAAGGTGGGGGGAATTAGCAAATATAGTTCTATCTAAATTAAGCCATGTAAAAACTCCAGCTATCGTTATCAGCAATTTAATTACTAAGTCGCCCTCTGACCCTCCAAGTAATTGTGCTCCCCTTCTCTTCAACAGGTAGAAACTCAGGACATGGGTGAGAAACCTTGAACTCAAACCAAAGTCCCTTCACCGTACCCCTGGACCCAGAAGTAGGTAGAGAATAGCCCAAAGCCCAGAACTATACATAGCCCACGAGGCCAGGATTTTACATACTTGTGGGGTCCAGGTATAGCCATAGTAGGCAAGCGCCTTTAACCCCAAAACAATGGGTATAAGCGCTATTTTGATGGTATTTGCGACCCTAGAAAACCCTAAACACTAAACCATACCTGTGCCCCAAAAGTATGTAAAACAAAAGCCCAAACCTTTAAAGCAGCCCAAAAGGCCATTATGTTACATACTTTGGGAATTCAGGTAGTACCTACCATCAGAAGGTTTCGGGGTAGACGCACTTTTGATCTCAGCTGTCAGCGCGCGGCTGCTATGGGCCTTCTTCAGGCCGGTGTCCGCACAGATCAGGGGTTTAAGGCTTGTGGCCGCTGAGGCTTTAGGGTTGAGGGTTCAGGGTTTAGGATTTAGGGTTTAAGGTTGAGGGTTTAGGGTTGAGGGTTCAGACTTTAGGGTTTAGAGTTTAGGACTCGGGAATGTTTGTTCTTTCAAGGTTGTGGAGCTTCATTAGGGTTCTAGAGTTGCTGGGATGTAGGGTGTAACAGAGCTCAACGTAATTGTAAATCCTCATGTGGCTTTCTGTATCCTTTTATGAGCCCTATATGTTCCGACAGGACCCTGTACAACCCATGTATAATCCCTATGACCCCTGTAATCCCTGCGGTTTCCATTCTCTTTTCCCTTATCCCTATGTAACCCCTATCTATATATACCTATAAAATCCCTATATAACACCTATCCAATATATGTACCCTATATCCTCCCCATGTAACCCCCATCCCCTTTATGCATATACATATATATATCACCCTATATCACCCCAAACCCTAAATCCTAAACCCTAAAACCCTAAAACCTAAAACCCTAATTCCCTAAACCCTAAATCCCTAAACCCTAAACCCTAAATCCCTAAACCCTAAAACCCTAATTCCCTAAATCCCCATATAGAGCAGGTCACTCCGGTCTTCGGAGCCGGCCTTTGAGCCCTGGGTTGCTGGCAGCAGCCACACGCGCCTTCTCCCTGGCCTCGGTCTGGGGCCTCAGGGGCTCATAGAGCCTTAAGGGTTGAGGGTTTAGGATTTAGGATTTAGGGTTTCGGGTTTAGGGTTTAGGATTTAGGGCTCAGGCTTTAGGAAGGGCTTATTGTGGGGGTTACAATTAAGCGAGAGCGCGATTTTGGCGCGCACAAGGGCGCGTCCAAATTGTTTGCGCGACGGAAGAGCACGCGGGCATGGCGGGCGACAGCAAGTCAAACAACTAGAACCCCGCAGGAATGTGGGGAATAATGGCTATATGCATTTAGCATTAAAATAATATGAGTATTCATATTAATATTCATATTAATATATGTAGGTCTTGGGGCCTTTGGGGTTCAGGGTGAGGACTGCGGGGTTAGGGCTCCGAGGCTTTGGGCTGCACAGTTTAGCGACTTAAGAGTCTCTTCATAGAGGCTCGAGCTTGAGGCCATCACCTATCAAAACCTCATAATTACCTAGTAAAATGACCATGCAGGCCACAAACTTACTGGTTCTTTTTGGGGAATAAAGGAATTCAGTCGACATATAATATGTTCCCATATTCCCTACTAAGAACCAGTAGGCAAAAGGAGGTAGAAAGGCCAAAAATCTTAGTGTCAGGGTGACGTGGCCTCGCCGGCTGCCGGTTGCCACGTTTGGCCAGTGGGGGGAGTGCCTCACTTTGAACAGGTGAAGTGGACCCCTTTCTCTGCAATAGTGGTGTTTTACGAATATAAGAGGACCCACATAGAAATAACACTATCCCTTATAGTCACTCTTACACGGTAGGGGGTCCACCTAAATTGTCCCGCTCCCCAAGCAACATGAACCCAACAAAAACCCTTGTCACAAAAGGGGTTGTAGTCATTGTAGAGGTTCGGGTTCCATGCTAGCCTGAGCAGCCCATTCGGGGAATCAAGGACTCCAAAAAATCTGAAGTCTGCAGAGAATATATGAATAAGCACAAAAAGGAAAACTGGCAAAACCGTAGCCATGATTACGCGTTGTGGTTATGATGATGGTGGTGTATGATGGGGAAAATGATACCCATGGTTTAGGTTTGGGCTTGTTTTTTCTGCTAGGGTTCAGGGTTCAAGGCTCAGGGGTGCTTGTCCTTTTTACAGCATAGGGTTTAGGGTTTAGGGTTTGGAACCCTTGAGGGTACGTCCGCCGGCACTTCCATCCTCAGAGAAATAGGGCGGTGTCCGTTTAACGGCTGCTATTACGTTGACCCTAGGCCCTAAACCCTATTGCTGATTTGCCAAAGGCCTCTTCTTGCTCTGCCAGCTCCAGCTCTATGCCTGTTTGGCTTTCGATCCGGGCTTTCAAGTCCTGAAGCTTACTGGGGGATAGCAGGGAATCTGGGAAGATACTATAAAGGGATTATATGGGGATTCTACTCCCTTATTCCCTACTAACAACAAGTAAGGAAAGGAGCTTACGGGCTGTAGAACTTGAGGGAAGGCCCTCTACGGCAGCAATAAATGCAGGCAGTGGCCTGCAATTGAAATTCATGGCCCCTGACATCCCTTACTCTAAGTGTCCAAGTACCCCAAATACTGGGGTTTTAGTTGCCAAAAGCCGTTTAGACTAGAATATTTGGGGCGCATTGTTTGGATTTTTTGACCGATAGGATTATGATCTTACCGTCGTTGACCCAAGAAGAACCTCATGTCCTGCAGGACCCGGATGGTCGCCAGTTTCTCCTTGCTCAACAAGTCCCAGTAGATTCCCTTTGGCTTCGTTGGCTGCTTTGTTTTGTCCACGTAGATGGTTCGCGTGGGCGTTACTATGATATCCACAGGGACATCGTGCTTCATCATGCCCTTGCCCTTGGGCGGGAAGTCATCGCTGATGACTTGGCTATCCTGAGTTTCTGCGTCTCTGCTGGGAGAATGCAAGAAAAGGATCAGCATGCTCTTCCTTGCGACATTGCTTGTTTGTGCCGTTGTTAACGAATTTCATCTCTAATTAAAACGTAAAACCTTGAGAAAAGCAAAGAGCCAACTCTTGAAAGTATCTAACCAGTTCACGCCTAAAAAATCTGAACTCTCAGAGATTTTAGGAGTTAGACATGAAAACTCAAGACTTAGTAACTGGCTCCTGAAAGGGTATACGAATGTACAGATAGCTTTGCTTCTTTACTGGTTTGAACCTGATGAAACAGTCAAAACCTATATCCAACAATGGCCCAGGTGACATGCACAGTGGTGATGATCGGTGTGTTCTCGTCGATCATGCCCAGCTGTCTCATCATGCCGTACCTTTGGGAAGACATGGCCTACCGCTTTGGGATTCATGCGGTTGAGGGAACAGATTTGATGTGACTCAGTGCAGCTGGGGATTCATCCAGGAAACCCGCATTGAAATCTGGCATACGTAAACAAATCTGCGCCAATAGCTTTGGAAACTATCATAAACACGGAGCTTCGGCAGCTATGGGAGAAGCAATTCTCTCTAATAGCCATTTGTACTACCCACCTAATTACACTCATCTGTGATGCCTTGGAACACCTCTCATGTTGAAGGCCCACCTCATATGAGCTATGGTCTAAACTCCTAGTATCTCCCTTAATAACCCCTACAGTAGTCCCCTATATACTCCCTGGTATAACCCCCCTTAAGGAGTTTAGACTATAGCTTATATGCACTGAGCCACTGAGAGTTCATTAGGATCCATGGTCAAGGGCCGCTACTAGGCTAATCCGGGTCCGCTGACAGGTGTCTGCTTACCCATTTCTCTGGGCACTCTAACCTTGCGCGCGCTTCTGTCTATACTTAGATGAATACTAAGCCCGGTACCCTAATGCCCTTATGGGAAGCTACAATCATTGTAAGATCCCTACCAGAGGCTTATAGTTTTGATTTTAGATTAGGGCGGGTCCGGATTCTACTGAGGCTTTATCTGCCCTGGAAGCCTAGCTAATCAATCACAATCTCAGCTCTTCTGTTAAGTTACCTAAGGGTCCATGTACCCAATAATTTGGTACTTAGGGTTTTGGTACTAGTAATTATAGTACACGTTTTGGGTAAGTATATGATGACTAAGTACTTGGACCCTTAGGGGTTTATGCATAAACAATATTGCAAACACGTGACTTCATTGAGCGCCTATAGTCCAGTGTCCCCAAACCCTAAACCCCTAAACCCTGCACACTAAACAAGTGACCCTAAACACAAACTCCTAAATCCTAAGCCCGAAACCCCTAAACCCAAGACCCCTAACCCTAAAGCCCCAAACCCTAACCCGAGCCAAGCTACTCCAACTCCGCAAAGCCTTCGCCTTTGCCCACCCGAATGCCCGTTTCAGGATGCACCGCAGAAGACCTTGGCTTACTGGTTCTTAGTAGGGAATAAGGGAATTCGATTAGGCTTTAGGAATTAGGGTTAGTAGGGCATAAGGGAATATGATACAGGGGTTAGGGATGAGGGTTTAGGGTTTAAGGTTTGGGGCTTAGGGTTAGTAGGAAACAAGGATGTATAATGTAGGGTTTAGGGATTCGGCTTTAGAGTTTGGGGTTAGCAGGGAACGAGCGAATACAATCCCTGTATCATCCCTATAAAATATTCCCACATTCCCTACCAAAAACCAGAAAGTGGTTCAAGACTTTTAGGGCTTGGAGCTTCCGCATGGTGTAGTGTGTAGGGGGCCTGAATAATGCGAACAGCCTTCAGGCACAAAGTGTCCAAGGTTACCACACAGAAGCCTAGCGACCCTACGACAACGACGTCGATCTTCGTCTTGTCATCCAAGTCCATGGGCTCAGCCAGCTGCTTCATGCCGCCTGACGGTCGGCGCGTAATGAGGGTCATAAGGCCCTAGGGATCCAAATAGCCCAATGTAGGTAAGATTTACAGACTTTAGGGGCCCAATGTAGGTGCTACTTGTATAATTGGATTCCTATATAACCCTTGTATAACCCAGTGTCCATTGAATTTTCCACTTTCTCTTCCATTATGGGTATTGCTTGTATACGTGGATCCCTATATAACCCCTATATAACCCCTATGTAACCCCAAACCCTAAGTTTGGTACTTTTTGTATACTTGGATTTGCAGGGAGGGGGTCTAAGGCTGTCTTCCTGCTTGCTTGCACAAGCAGAAGCCCATAGTCGAGACACATACTTTAAGGCCTCTATGGGACTTCTCTAAGAATTAGGGTTTCCCAATATTGCAATCAATACCTTTTTGAGATACCAAGAATTTGGATTATAGTATCTTGGGGTCTGAATTGGGATCCCCCTATTCAGAGAAACTACCCATCTCACTTTGGGGTTGTTAGGCGGGGCGTTAAGAAGCTAGGTGAGATGGCCATAAGGGGTTTCGGGCAATCAAATAATGGCTTGCTGTTCAGGAGCTGTAAACCAGGTTAGCATAATACTTGGTTGTATAGTAAATAATAGGTCTCCTTATCCTCGGTTGGCCTTTAGAGACCCTTGAAAAATATTAGTATAGATGGGTCCCTATAAACCCAATAAGGGAAAATAGTTAAGGAACCCAAAGGCCTACCCAGTATTCTAGTGATTTCATTTTAACTCCTTAACAGCAACCCAGACTAGCCTCATAAGTCTTCTTCAATGCTTCCTGGGCACTCCAAGGTTTGCCAACTACCTTCCCTTCCAGACCCATGCGAGGAAGTAGGCAGGGACACTACGAAACAGTAGCGTTATCTAGAGTTGTATAGTGGTAGGGAACTGTAGGGTAGTGCCACGCTATAACTTGGGTTTTCCCCATCCAAGCCCTGAAGAAACCAAATAACTTATGGAAGCTAGCTCGGGAAAGGCTCGAAGGTTAGCTAAAGCGGCTGAGGTAACGGAAACCTGTTGCCAGGCGCACCGCTGAGAAGTCCAGCTGCTTCTGGAGTTGTAGCCAGAGTTGACAGCCCACGTTTGCCCACATTTGGGTCCTATTCCTGGAACAAGGATAGACCACGGTTACACAATCTGAACAAATCTGCGCAAATTTGAGCGGCGCCCCATTCTCAAAGGAATAGAAGCCACATGATCCCTGCACATCCCCATGTGATCTCCGAATAGCACCTAAGACCTCAACCCTGAATCCTGCATTTGAAGCCCGACATCCTAAATCCAAAGTCCTTACCCTAAAACCTAAGCCCTTAAACCGTAATCACTAAATCCTGAACCCCAAACCCTGTTGAACATGTCATATGGGTCGTTTTCAAAATTCTAGGGCCCGTTTAGGGGTACCAAAATGGACCCGACTTTTGGGAACTAGCCATATGATGATACTGACGGTCCTGATTGAAGCGTTTGAGGTACAACCCTAGACCCTCCTCGCACCCTCTATTCGGGCCTAAGTATTAGGGGCCATATATCCCGAATCAGGGGTATTTGTAGGGTTTTGGTATATATAATCTCAGTTTCCATTTCATGTTCCATGTTACTTTCTATGTGGTTCTCCACTTTTGAGGTAACATCCCTGAACCCAACCCAAAAACCACAAACAGAAATTTCTACGTTCTTCTCCACTATTCCCCCCTTTTACTGCTCTGAGGACGCCGCGCGCCGTTGCCGCGAAGTTATACTTCTCCGGTGGCACGGTTCCAGGCTCGATCCGCGAGAAGAAGCCAGTACGAAGCCCTGGGCTCTAAAGGGTTTAAGGTTTAATTAGGGTTGACCCCTGGTTTAGGATATAGGGTTTGGGGCTTATTGAAAACAGTAATGAAAGATCAAAACATGTTAGCAGTAGTCAAAAGTAAAAAAAATAGCCGAACGCTGAAAGCGGGTACCTGACATTGTCAAATGTCTTTTACTTGAGGGGTTGCATATGGGTGAGTATAAGCCAAAGAACACATGCGTCATATGTGATTCACGTTCAGGGCTTGAAGCTCAACAGTGGTTTAGACTTCCCGGGGGGGGCTGTTAGTGCAAGTTGACGGGCTGCGTGGCTTGTATTGAGGCTTCAGCCAACATGCCCAACAACGTTTGAAATCAAGGCCTCAAACTGGGCGTACTAAACATCCCAATCCCAATTTGCATTTAAACAATATTTTGAAATAGGGAAGTCAAAGGGATGACTTCTTGATGACTACGGCTTCGTTACGTTCTTTAAATTCTCAGGCCTGTGAGAATCAACGAGTAACTCCCTCCCAGTTTCCCTCATCTTCCTTACAGGAACGCGCACCGAGCCTAGTTGGGTGTGCCTTCACAGACCCTTCCAAAAAAGTCTGGGCAACTAGCCACCGGGTTGGGCTACAAATGCTGGAGCTTCTTGAAGCTGATTGCAGATTCGCAAACTGACGCAAACTGACTGGCTTTGGGGAAATGCCGTGCAAGTAGAGCCGAGGATCGTGGCTGAGGCACGTAAAGGATCTTGCGCGATCGCAGCGCCGCAACACGGACTGACTTCTGGGGAGTGTCTGGGTTCACCTTCACAATCTTCGCGTCGATGAACTCCTTGCTAACTAAAAGCAACACTGCTGCCATGTCCTATTGATCTGTTTCTCGTTTGGCAAAGTCTTTGAACACTTAATTCTACATCCCTCACTTGCGTTCAGCGTGATGAATAGCTTGAAAACATGGTCAAGAGGGAATTCATTGAACCTCCCTTCTAGCACAGAGCCGGGGGTAATGCTTGGAAAAAACATACGCTAAAGACGAACGATGGTAGCCAGGGCTTTGGGCCGCTGCCCTCAGCAAAACCCGACTGGGACCTGCAACACCGTGACACTTTCTTATGGTCGCCGGATTTGGAATCGAGCCTAGCGGCAATGGAGCCATAGCACTTGAACCAAAACCGGTAACAGTATGAAAGAAATCCTGCACCACCCCAAATCCCTGAAGTCCCCTAAAACCACAGCAATTGAGGCACACTTAAGTGGTCCAAGATTTCTTCCATCAACAGTGTGAATCCAATAAGTATCATGTGTGTGGGGTTGGGCTTAGCAAACGACCCTTGTAGGGCCTTGTTCTCATGTGGCCTTCCCTCTTGCTTTGCCGGCAACCGTAATCATTAAGCCTTAAACCCTCCACCCCATTCAACCTATTTCAGCTTTGACGAGTTACGCCTACTCACCCGCCTTTCACCCTGTGACAAACCAGGCCTGGAACTCTGACGCTAGGGTTTAGGGTAGGTAATAAAAGGGTTAAGCACTTTCAAGCCTTGAAAGTGGCTGACATAGCAACACAAAACACCGCGCCATCCTGGCAAAAAAACACCACCACCCCCAAAAACAACAATAAAACTAGTTTGTTGGATTTATGGGACCTTGCCAACTGCTGACCCAAAACGAGCACCAGAGCCCAATACCCTGCACCGTCCCCAAAGTCCTATGCAATGTCTGTATAAACTCAGACCCAAAGCTTTCAGGAACAACCCTGGGGTCCCTAATGCTAACTCACCAAGCTGTATGCGCTTGAAATATCCCTAGCCGGCGACTGGCGCTCATCAAACTGCTAAACCTCAAGAACCCTACATGCCCAAACCCCAGACATGTAATTAAGCCCCACATCCTATACTCCAATCCTGCATTCCCTCCAAAGTGTTCACAAACTCCTGCACAGCAAATCCCCCAAACTCCTCCAAAAACTGACGGACATCGGAAAAGCTTGATCCCCACATACTCTCTACTACGAACTCCCATCTACCCCTTCTAACTTCCACAGATCCCCTGAACCGTACACCTAAACCTTCAACTCTAAGCCGTAAACCTTAAACCCTAAACCATGAGCCCTAAAGCCCAAAGCTCTAAAACCTATCCTCTCCCCAGACATCCAAGTATACAATTAATGCCTACATCTTACATAGGGCCCTAAGTCTGTGAACATTACCGACATTGGGCTCTCTGGATCCCTAGGGTTTGAAAAATGTTAAAACACTGAACCGTAAACCTTCACCCTAAAACTTAAACCCTAAACCCAAAATCTTAAACCCTACATCCTGAACCCTATCGATTTGACAATTTGAATCCCTCCAAAACTGCTGCCCAAATCTCCGGGAGCTCCGCCAAGCGCTCGCCAGCACGGGCCGATCCGCGGAAGTTTGGGATGCGGTGGTGCACCTGGATTAAGGTTTAGGGTTTAGGTTTAGTTTTTTTTTGCGGACCTAGGGTTTAGGGTTTAGGGCTTAGGCTTTACGGCTTAGGGTTTAGGAGTTAGAGTTTAAGATTTAGGGTTGAAGGCGTAGGGTTCAGGATTAGGCTTACTTGGTGATTCAAGGTATATCTAACCTATAATTATAATACCTAGGGTGTATATAGGGTTTGAAATAGGGGCATAGCTCTACTCATACTCCAACTAACCCTAAACTCCCAACGCTAACCCCTAAGCTCTATTCCCTGCATCCTAAACCCTAAAACCCTGAACCCTACACCCTAAAACGGTGCCCTACCGAGGCCAAATGGGTTCCCGCACTTTGGGCCCTAAACCCTAAACCCCAAACCCCATTACATACGAATTATGTAAGTACTTGGACCCTAAACCCCAAACCCTATTACATACTATTAAGCACCTGGACCCTCAGGGTAGAGCGCTGTAAAGAACTCTAAGCCTTAAACCCTAAACCCTACACCCTAAACCCGTATCGAGGTACCGGACGGGGGAAGTCCGCCAGGTCATTGTCCTGCAAGTTTGAGCACTGCAAGGGCAGGCAGTTAAAGGTTTAGGGCTTCAGGGTTTAGGGTTACGGGTTTAGGGTTTGGGATTTAGGGTCTAGGTTTTAGGGCTTCTGGTTCAGCATGTAGGGTGTAGGGTTGAGGGTTCAAGGTTAAAGATTTAGGGCTTAGGGTTTATAGGATTTAGGTTTGAGGGCCCAAGCACCCAGTATATGTGGTTTCAAGTACCAAGACTACTCATAGTAATTAGTCGGGACACAAGCCCAAGAACTTCCCGTAGAGCCTCGGGGTTGGCAAAGTAAGGCATGGCCGCTGTCCTCCAGGTAGTTCCATACACGCTGCCGGATGTCCCACTTCCACGCCTAGGTTCTTGCGCGGCAGTGTTCATCAACTTGAAGACCGGTTCTAACACCTTCCTAAACCTTTAGAATAATGGCCTTTTGGGCTACATTTCTGCGTGATGGGCTAACTCTCCCGGGGAGTTCCCAGAGAAGGGTCAGCGCTACTGTGCTGGTAGCTCTACACTCCCAAGCAAACATTCAGCCACAGAAGGGGTCCTACAAAGCACAGAGGTCCTTCGAAGCAAAGCCACATGGGAGTTTTCATGTTTGTGTAGGCGACAGTATCAACTACTTTTGTGCATGTTGAGGCATCCTGACCCTGAGATACCGCTGGAGCCATATGAGCTATAGTCTAAACTCCTAGAAACCCCCTTAGTAACCCCTATAGCAGTCCCCTATACAATCCCCTATATAGCCCCCTTAAGGAGTTTAGACTATAGCTCACATTGTGAAGGAGCGCCCAACAAGGAGCTCGATTTGAAGCATTCTGAGTCGGCAGGCTTAATCCACACGGCTGATGAAAGCATACTATATGGAGTCCACTATTCCTAGGAATTATCCGGGTCTAGGTGCTTTAAGTGGTGAACATGTCCATTAATCCTAAACCCTAAAACCTGAATTAAAAACCCCAAGCCCTAAACCCTAAACCCTAGATCCTGAACCCTAAAGCCTAAACCCTAAACCCTACACCCTAAACCCGATACCCCAAACCCTAAACCCTAGACCCTAGACGCCAACCCCTAGCCGCAACCCAATGCGTACGGGGGACTGTCTTCTGAGCGCGGATGTTCCCACCCTCCGCGAGCTCCTATGCCCAAGCCCCTTCTACCTTTGCGGTTTCGGGTTTATAGGGCTCATAGGGTTTATAGGGTTTAGGGGGGGTCCAGAAGGGTGACTTTGTACCTAGAGGACCAATTTTGATACGCATTTTGTTGTAATGATGAATTTCCGCCTGGCTGGTTGAAAAGCGCGCGGGCAGAACAATTGCAAAAGAAAAAAACCTGTTTTTCAACATTGCGCTCAGCTGCGCCTGCGCTTTTGCAAAATTCGCACAATCTCTCCGAAAAGCCAACGTTTCAAAACAAAAAACGCTCGGTGGAACTAAAAGTGCAACGCTACTTAGAAGTTGCTATGTTCCAAGAACCTCCAAACAATGGTCCAGAAGGTGGTTGGGAGGTGATAGGGTTTAGGCGCTAAGTGTTCTAGGTGGTTTTGGGATGTGGGATTTAGGGTTTGGGGTTTGGGCTTACACGCGCTGGGTCGACCTTAACAATAAACAGAAACCTAAAGGGGCAGTGCTCTTTGGTTGGTGGTTGAGTGCGTTTCTGGTCACAAACGTACCTACACATCCAGTGCAAGAAGCGCCGAGAATCCGGATCATGTACTCAATGCAGCGGGACAGGTTTGCCTAAATTTCTAAATCGTCCCTATAAACCTTATCCTCGTCGCACATCCCAAACGCCATCTTCGCCCTTGAGCTTCTACAACTAGAGGCCTGGGAGGCTCCTACCCAGGAGGCATTTGTTAACAACTATAGTCACCCTTAAGTAGATAGAATATGAGGTATTTGGGGATCTTACGATAAAATACCCAAAGCCCTATTATATGTGCTTAAGGGGGACTATACCTCTGGTCCTGAATGAGCTTCATGTACTCCTGCATGCCCTCGCGAGCTTCTTGGTCCAGTTTCTGGCGTTCCTCTTCTGTCTCCTGCATCATCTGGCTGGAAGCTCTGCAGCTGGGGGCCACACCATCCGGGGCGTAGAGTTCGAGATTTAGGGTTCAAGGCTAAGCGCTATCTCACTGGTGGTTAGGAGGTAATACGGGAATGCATTATGTAGGGATTATGCAGGGGTATGTTCCCTTATTCCCTATTAACGACTAGTAATCTATAGACTATAGAGTCTGCAGGGAAAAGAAAGCGGAAAGTCGACCTGTCCTGTTGCTTCCCTTGAGGAACACCTGAATCCGGTCTAGATCCTGCGTAAAGCTCTGAGACCCTGTAGAGTTTGGGGTTTTGGGATCAGGGTTAAGGGTTTACCCGGGCCCCAGAAAATATAGAACAATGGCCTTGCTGGCTTGTTTTAGCTGCTCATGGGCCAGATCGGCCTACCTTTGAAGTGCAGATATATACACCCCCCCCTGCACGTGAAGGGCTTGGCCTCTGAAAACCTTCCCGCCCGCGTCTACGGAAAGTTTCATCACATCAGCCATCTCCTTGGTCTGCCTGACCTGCATAGAGCTTCGGCGACTCTGCAACATGCCTGGAGACGGTTCTCAAGCCCTTACTTGGGAGTTTGTGAAAGGTCTCTCTCTCTCTCTCTCTATATATGTATATATACATGTTATTGATTCCCTGGGGAGGAACCCTATAGCCGCTACCGTGTTCCTAGGGTACCAAAGGGCCCACAAGTTCCCACAAGTTTGAAAACTCTCGCTTAGTCTGGTCAGTGCAGCTGCGCGTATTTAGCAATAGTATGCTGCATCTGTACAGCCTCCCCAGGAAAGCAGCCCTACATTTGCAAACACTTTC